ATAAGAGAGCCAGAGAAGGCCTTATTTATGGGCCAGAGAGCCAGCCAAGGTGAAATGAGACAGGGCACCACTTGTGCTTTTAGGAACTGCATGAATGTGTGTGTGTTTGTTCTTGCTGTTGTTGTGTGTTTTCAAGTCGTTCCCAACTTATGGTGATCCTAAGATAAATAGATCACGGAGTTTGCTCGGCAAGATTGGTTCAAAGATTTGCCTCCCTCTGAGGCTGAGAAAGTGTGACTTGCCCCAGGTCACACAACGGGTTTCCAGGGCTGAGCGGGGATTCGAACCTTGGTCTCCAGAGTCATAGTTCGGCATTCAAACCACTACACCACTCTGGCTCCTACTGCATGCGCATGCACACATTTTTAAGTCAATAATGGCTCCTGGGCCTTCGATCTGACTGGGATTGGGATGTTCTGAGATTGGGACTTTTAACAGAATCAGCATCAGGTGCCTCTTGCAGCTGTCATTTATGTCATGAGGAAACCTCTTTCTCACAGAGAAAGCTGTGTATCAGCAACAGTGACTCCATGTGTCTGTGCCTTCAAGTTGCTTGTCAATCCCGTGACTTTTCTTAGGCAAGAAAGACTCAGGGCTGATTTTGCCAACTTCTTCCTCTCAAATACAGCCTACAGCACCTAGTATTCATTGGGCATCTGCTACCCAAGTACTAACCATGGCTCGCCCTGCTTAGCTTCCAAGATCAGATGGGATTTGGTACCTTTAGGACAGGGTTAGGCAACCTTTCCCCTTTAAGGTCCGAGGGACTTCAGCTCCCAGAATCCCAGGAGCTATTGGCCAACATGGCTGAGGCTTCTGAGAGCTGAAGTCCCTCGGTCCTTAAAAGGGAAAGGTTGCCTACCCCTGCTTTAGGGTATTTAGACCCTCCTCTGTCACAGGGATAGCCAGTCCTATACACTGGTCCCTCCACATTTGCTGGGGTTATGGGCACAGGCACTGTCAATGTGGAACAACTGCAAATGAAAAACAAAACAAAACAAACAACCACTATTCTTTTTGCCTAAGACAACACCTCTCTAGGAATCTCCGGGTTCTCCAGTGCAACTCTATGGTCAACATCTGCCAGAGGTTGATCACAGCATCATGCTGGAGGACCTACAAATGCTTAGAGAAGTGTTTTCTCTAAGAACTTTTAGGTTCTCCAGCATCAACTGAGTGGTCAGCATCTGACAGAGTTGCACTGAACAACCTAGAGATTTCTAGAGGGAACATAGGAACCAAACCCACAAATAATCAAAGCTGCAAAAGCCAACGCTGCAAATGAGGAGGGCCAACTGTATTAGGCATACTGACTACTTGTTGTTGTTGATAAGCTGCCTTCAAGTGGACTTTGACTCACTCACGAAGAGTCACAGTGACCATGAGGATGAGACTTTTCCAAGCCCCCCTGTCCTCCACTGCTCTGATAAGTCTTGTAAATTGATTCTCACATTCTCTCTGATTGGCTCTATACATCTGCCATGCAGCCTTCCTCTCTTTCTGCTGCTTTCCAGCTTTCCCAACACGATTGTCTTTTCCACTGAATCATGCCTTCTCTCGCTGTGGCCAAAGTACGAGATCCTCAGTTTTGTCATCTTGGCTTCCAGGGAGAGTTCAGACTTAATCTGTTCTAGGACCCATTTGTTTGTCTTTTTATGCGTTCATGGTCTCCTCCACACTCTTCTCTGGCACCACATTCTCTCAAATGAGTTGATCTTATTTCTATCCGCTTTCTTCACTTTTCAGCTTTCTTATCTGTACACGGTGATGAGGAATAAAGTGGCTTGGACATTTCTAAATTTAG